TGAGGGGCGATCACAGGGTTAATTGTGTGCTGTTTTATTTGTGTCTGTGTGTGTGCTTCACTGTAATCACACTGCTTTGCATGGCTGTGCTGTGCATAGCAATCCAAAGCAGTGTGCATGTGCTGACAGGGAGGAGAACTGTATTGTTTACATACAGTTCTCCTCCCCGTCAGAGATGCTCGGTAATCACCGGGCGCCGGAGAGTAATCGCCGGACGTGATTTCATGCACCTGTGCCACCCTGTAGCAGTAGATCTGCTATAGGGCAGTCAGGAAGCGGTTAACATTTTATTTAATTGTTTGAACTTTGAATGAAACCAAGTTAACTGTTCTTAATTATGTTTTAAACCTTAACATTCAGTGTCATATAACATTGTATAGCACACTAAGGCGGTATATATATATATATATATATGATAACTGTGTCATTGGCAACATGACACAACTACTGAGAACAAACTCAAATTGTTTAGCCAGTTTTTCTTCCCATGTTTTCAATCGGGGACCTTTTTAGCAGCAGTATTTAGTTGCTAAGGGTTCAATTACTATGTACAGGTCCGTGACAAGTACAGAATTCTATGTTCTCTGATCTCAATGTTTTAATATAGTAATGGAACTTCTAGATTACTTTTTATATAGTATTATAAGCTGCTATAAAGGATACATTATTCACCTTCTGTTTTTATGTGCTTGTTCAATGTGGAAATATAGAGCGGAGTGTAAAAGAAAAGTGAAACCTAAGAGAAAACTGAATATGAATCCAACCTTAGCATGGATTTTTGCATTCTCTTCATAGGAAGGTATTTGCTGCCACCAGTCTAAAATGAAGAAGACGGTGTGGGTGGTCTAATCTGTGTGGCCCCCTCATACTACTTTCTCATGACCAAGATGTCAATTTACACCTGTACAGAAGGAAGCCAAATACAACTGCAAATAATTACAATCCTGGTACTATTAACCACACAGTAAGGAACTTGCATGGTTTTCATTTTTATTGCAAACCACACTATACCTTATTTTACCTTTGCTAAATACAGCATATAGCAGGAAACCTGCAATATGTGCAATCCACCAAGCATAGCAGTCTAGCCAGTGCAATTTCATTTATTTAAATTATGCATTATAGTCATTGGACTCAGAAATTACAGAAGAACATGTGCTAAATGTATGAGAAAAAAATAATTATAGCTGAAGATAAAAAAAGAAATTAATTGGAATGTAAAAGTTATCTAAATTATGTATATGCAAGGCACTATAGAAAACCAGGAAATAATTGGCTAAATTATGTAGTAAAAAAAAAAGAAAAACCTAATAGTTGAAAGTTTTTTTTTTTATTTATTTTTTTTTTAGTTTAAGATGCAAAATGTGTTCTTTCAATGTATGAATTAATCAGGTTGGAAAATAATAAAGTTGTGTTGATGCTAATGATCATATTCTTTAAGTGAGGTTCATTTAGGGATACGTATCTCATACCTTGGCACATTTTGAGATACTGAAAATTGTGTTAGCATTTGCTGAGAAGCTCACAGCCACCTATTGCTGAGAAAGCTCCAGGCGAAAAGCAAAAATCAGTCATAATAAAATGTAAAAATGTACAATAAAGTGCTATTTGTTCCTTTCTTAAATTTACATGAATCATTGGAAAGAAACAAAGAAAACTAGCTATTATGCGCAGTACTATTTCAATTAAAAAAATGAGTTAGATGTAGTAGATGTTAAATCCTATATTTGTGGTCTGTTTATTTAATGCAAAAAATAAAGAGGCGGACAAATAATTATGACTGATAGAGAATGTGTAAATGCTATACTATGATGATAGCTGGCAGAAATAAGACACAATATACATGGCTATTCCATCCATTCAGAAATAAACTCCAATCTTTCAACAATTGGACATTGCTCTTGAGTTTGGGATAGTAATATTAATCTTCAGCCTTGCACTTGTAAAACCGAAGTACAACTGAGGTTATGTATACTTATTTATTTATTTATTTCATCTTAATTGTAGCTTTACTTTAGTCTTGCTAAGCATTTCAAACTGGAATAAAGGTTGGAGAGATAGTGGCAGCGGTGACCTTCACTGGACTGAAAATCAGCCATAAATAGTGAAGTATCTCCTCCACTACCAGTTTTCTCACAAATTTACTGGTCATTAAACCTCAGTCACTTTCTGTAAATGACCTTTTCTTAAACACTAATGAAGATAAAAACCAATGATGAGCTAGGCTAGTAGCATTATTGCTGTGTGCGATACTAAACTGCTCATTCATTTTTCTTCTCTATTGCTTTTACCACTTAAAACCACCTTTTTTCATAGAGTGCTACAAGGTTTCTATCTGCTACCTGTGATGTAATTTCTTTACTGTCCATTATTGAGTGGTTATGAGAATGATACGAATGAATGGCAACTGCACCCAACCTATATCTGGCCTTTCAAGGAAGGAGCACATGGAAGGACAACACATGTCAAATATCAACAAAGAAAAATGCTCAGCTAAACTTACCAGCCAGCCTGAAACAAACCAAATTGTTCTAAAAAATTCACATTAAAACAGGGGTTTAAGGAGGGGTGGGCTCCCTCCAGGTATACTTGCCCTCAATCCAGGGGTGTATTTACCACAAGGCAAACAAGGCATTTGCCTAGGGCAGCATTTTTCAGGGGGGCAGCACCGCTCCCCAGAAGAAGGGACAGAAGAAGGGACACATGTGGCATGGGGACCTGGTGGGATCCGAGAGAGGCTGTGGGCTGTTTGACAGTGTATGCAGAGCCTGACTCTCATACCAGGGGATGTCTGGAGCAGTGAAGGTGACTATCTTTTCTCTCTCTCGCTTGGGGGGGGGGGGGTGGCCAGTGTATGGAGGGTGGTGGTAGTGGAAGGCTTTCTCGGGTCGGGGGGGTGGTGGTGTTGGTTGGTGTCAGGCTCTGCGGGGGGGCAGCTGATTTTTGTGTTGCCTAGGGCAGCACAAAACCTAAATACACCACTGCCTCAATCTAACCCTTATTATATATGTTTTTTTTACTATGGAGGCTCTCAAAATGTATAGAGTTAGGACTGCAGATAATACTAGGGTGCCGTGACATGACCTCTGCAGCTTACACATGTATTTTGCAAATGTCTGCAAACTAAACCTCTGTTTTTAATGTGAACTGTTCAACAGGATAATTCAGTTTGTTGCAGGCTGGCTGGTAAGTTGAGCTAGGAATTTTTTTTTGGTTGTGGTTATGAAAATGTAAGTTTTGTTACCTGCAAACAGTCAAACTGTTTTCTGTGCTAGTCCAAGAGCTAACCAAAAAACAGAGATTTCAGTTTTAGTGGTCAGTCAGAATGAAATCATTCAAATATGTTTTGAAAAAATAAATGCCCTCCTGAATGAACATGGGATGCTCACGTCTCCTGCTTAGAGGCACAACCACTTCCTCTTGTAGTGGCAAGAAAGAGACTGCAGAAATCAACACTTCTTTTATTCCCGGTCTCCCTGCTTGCTCAATGGTTCCCTCCATTAGCCCCAACTTTAATACTATACAACCCCACTGGATTGCTTTGTCCTGACCCCTGCTCTCAGAGTGGAATCAGGAAACTGACATCAGTTTTCAGATTGGCGGTTTCTGAAGAATGCTTTCATGTCATGATAGGAGGGGGCATTTAGTTTCAATGTTGATTTTAAGGTTAGTCGATCCAAACTCAAAGGACATAATAAAATAGTAATTCATACATAGTTACATAGTGACATAGTTAGTCTGGCTGAAAAAAAGACAAAAAAAACGTCCAGCTTAATCTTTAAAAAAAATAAGTTATAAATCCTACACCCACAGTTGATCCAGAGGAAGGCAAAAATGCCCAGCAAAGCATGATCCAATTTGCTTCTGCAGGGAAAAAAAATTCCTTCTTGATCCCCCGAGAGGCAATCGGATATTCCCTGGATCAACTTTACCTATAAATGTTAGTATCCTGTTATATTCTGTGTATCCAAGAAAGAATCCAGGCCTTTTTTAAAGCAATCCACTGAGCTGGCCAGAACCAACTCTTGAGGGATTCTATTCCACATTTTCATAGCTCTCACTGTGAAGAAACCTTTCCGTGTTTTGCAGATTAAATTTATTTTCCTCCAGACGTAAAGAGTGCCCCCTTATCCTCTCTGATGACCTCAGGGTGAATAGCTCTACACCGAGTTCACTATTTGAACCACTGATGTATTTATACATGTTGATCATATCCCCCCTTAATCTCCTCTTCTCAAGTATTTGTTTATTAATTAGCCATTAAGTGTTAATAGCAACTTGTGTGAGTACTTGAATTTGATATTATAGCGTTTCCCACTGAGTACATCTAAGACGAGGAGGGAAGAGAGAAGCAAAACAATGAGACCAACAGTTGCACTGCATTGTTCATGTGTGAATAATGAACATGCTGACTACTTTTTCCTGAATAGGCAAAGTGGCAGTGTCAGGTCTCCAAGTTGGCTGTTCTATTTCGTTGGTCTGTAATAATCTCAGAAGTAAATTCACAAAAATACAAATACTGTGGCAAGTAAAACAATTCCTTAAATGTCTTTCATCTATATATTTAATTGTTTGCCTGGAGTTCAGCTATGTAGTGTAGTATCAATATTTTGAGGGAGATTTGCTAAAACTGGAGAGTGCAAAATCTGGTGTAGCTCTGCATAGAAACCAATCAGCTTCCAGGTTTTATTGTCAAAGCTTAATTGAACAAGCTGAACTTAGACTCTGATTGGCTACCATGTACAGCTGCACCAGATTCTGAGTACACCAGTTTTAGTAAATTTTTTTTTATTATATAGAATTTATATAGCATCAACAGTATGAGCAGCACTTTACAATAAAAGGGAAACAGAACAATTACAATACAATAAAAAACAAGACTATTAAGAGGGCCCTGCTCTTAAGAGCTTACACTCTAATAGAGTTGGGCAAGTGTTACAAAAGATAATAACCATGAGGGATGAGCTGATAGAAGAATTAAAAGTTCAGTTGTTAGGTGGAGGCAGGGGTGTATTTACCACAAGGCAAACAAGGCAGTTGCATAGGGTGGCATTGTTAGGGGGCAGCAGCATTTTTCAGGGGGGCGGTGCCATCCCCTGAAAGAATGAAAGGAAGAAGGGACACACACAGCACGGGGACCAGGTGGGATCTCAGAGAGGCTGTGGGTTGCTTGATGGTGTATTCAGAGCCTGACTCTTGTTCCCAGGGAGCTGTGAGGGTTAGTGTATTATCTCTTGCCGGGGCGGGGGGGAGGTTGCCAGTGTATGGGGGTAGTGGAAAGCTCTCTCGGGTGGGGGCTGGGGTGTTGTTGGTCAATGTCAGACTCTCTTCGTGGGGAAGGAGGGTATTGGCTGGTGTCAGGGTCTCTCCATAGGGGGGAGCCAATTTTGGTGTTGCCTAGGGCAGCATGAAACCTAAATACACCACTGGGTGGAGGTTGGATAGCCTTCCCTGAAGAGATGGGTTTTCAGGGATCGCCTAAAGGTGGCCAGAATAAGAAATAGTTTGACAGATTGTGGTAGAGTTTCAGAGGATGGGAGAGGCTCTGGAAAAGTCCTGGAAACCAGTATGGGAGGAGCAGACAAGGAAGTTTGAAAGCAGGAGGTCATGAGAGGACAATTTGGGTTATATTTGGAGACAAGATTGGTGATGTAGCTTGGGACAGAGTTGTAAATAACTTTGTATGTTGTTGTTGTTAGTATTTTAAATTTAATTCGCCGAGCAATTGGAAGCCAGTGGAGGGATTGGCAGAGAGAGGTGGCAGACACTGAGTGGTTGGTAAGGTAGATGATTCTGTCTGCAGCATTTATGATAGACCGAAGAGGGGATAGCCTATGGAGAGATATGGAGAGAAGGAAGTTGCAATAGTCAAGATGAGAGATAACAAGGGAGTGAATGAGTAGCTTAGTGGTTTCATTAGTTAAAAAGGGGTGAATTTTAGAGATGTTATGGAGGTGAAGTCTACAAGATTTTGACATCTCCTTCTTTGTGTTACAGTATAGTTAAAGTCATAGCAGATTTACTAAACTGTCACTTACAGTACATAGCTGGCACCTCCAGGTATTTATAGGTCAGTTATTTTTTTTCCACAGTGCCTCATCTACAGGATCCCTGATATTCAAGATGCCCTATTATGCAAATCTTGACAATAGTGACTAACTCCTATAATCAGCAGTTCATGCTCACCATGTCTTCTGCTTTATTTACTTAGTTACTGTGATAGGAGGCCTCTCTGAATCCATAATAGCAGTATGCAATTTGCATCTTTAATATTAAGACACTCAGATACATAGAAAGCTTAAAGGAATATGAGGGCATTTCAAGTTACCTGCCAGTTTTGAACATGTTTGCTTTAAAAAGTAAATGCAAATTTAAAATAATTACAATTAAAATACATAAATAAAATAACTAATAGAAAATATAAATGTAAAACATGGGAGGCCACCACTGCTGTTCATACTTTAACTGTATATTGAAATTCTAAATGCAAATATATAAATTAAGCATGTGGATTAGATTACATACAATTCTAGAAATGTAATTGACTTCCCTCCTCAATAACGTGGTTTACAAAAATGATTTGTGTCAGTGCAGGTGTGCACATGTGTGGGCAGATGTGGTTTTTATGCCAGGGAGGTTTTTCAGCTCCATCTAGCCACTGAGGGGTGGCTGAACTATGATTTATAGTACATGGAATTTCATGTACCCACTTAAATTGTGGATATTTAAGGTTAGGAAAGTGTGGGTACAGTTTTGAGGATTACAGAGCAGATATAACATATGTAACATTTACTCGCCCAGACTTAAGGAAATGCAATTGGTTTCTTCAAATAGTAATTTTATAATTATACTCAAAACATTTTAAAAATAGAAGGAAGGTGCTTTCCTTTCAATTTCCTGCCCAGCAGTCATTCATGCATGAATGCCCAGTCTAAATTTAGTCTGTGACTAAGTTATCTACCATGATTTACAAAATTATTTAAGAACATATATGTTTTTTACTTTTCACACAAACAAAAGTATATATATATATATATATATATATATATATATATATATATATATATACAGTATATATATTGCTCAAAAAAATTTAAGAAACGCTTTGAAAACACATCAGCTGTCAATGGGGAAAAATATAATGCTGGATGTCAGTACTGATATAGACTGGGTAATGTGTTAGGAACGTAAGGATGCCCCAACTTTTGATGGAAATGAAAATTAACAACCTACAGAGGATGGAATTCAAAGACACCCCAGAGATCAAAGTGAAAAAAATGATGCAGCAGGCTAGTCCATTTTGATGAAATTTTCACTGCAGCAACTCAAAATGGTACTCAATAGTTTGTATGGCCCCCACGTGCTTGTATGCATGCCTGACAACATCAGGGCATGCTCCTAATGAGATGATGGATGGTGTCCTGGGGTATTTCCTCCCAGATCTCGACCAGGACATCACTGAACTCCTGGACAGTCTGAGGTGCAACCGGATGGACCGAAACATGATACCCCAGAGGTGTTCTATTGGATTTAGGTCAGGCGAGCATGAGGGCCATTCAATGGTATCAATTCCTTCATCCTCCAGAAATTGTCTGCATACTCTCGCCGCATGAGGCCGGGCACTGTTGTGCACCAGGAGGAACCCAGGACCCACTGCACCAGCGTAGGATCTGACAATGGGTCCAAGGATTCCATCCTGATACCTAATGGCAGTCAGGGTGCTATTTTCTAGCCTGTATAGGTCTGTGCATCCCTCCATGGATATGCCTCTCCAGACCATCACTGACCCACCCTCAAAACAGTCATGCTGAACGATGTTGCAGGCAGCATAACATTCTCCATGGCTTCTCCAGACCCTTTTAAATCTGTCACATGTGCTCAGGGTGAACTTGCTCTTATCTGTGAAAAGCACAGGGCGCCATTGGCAGATCTGCCAATTCCAGTGTTCAATGGAAAATGCCAATCGAGCTCTATGGTGCGAGGTAGTGAGCACAGGGCCTACTAGAGGACGTCGGGCCCTCAGACCACCCTCATGAAGTGTGTTTCTGATTGTTTGGCCAGAGACTTTCACACCAGTGGCTTGCTGGAGGTAAGTTTGTAGGGCTCTGGTAGCATTCATCCTGTTCTTCCTTGAACAAAGGAGCAGATACTGGTCCTGTTGATGGGTTAAGGGCCTTCTACAGCCCTGTCCAGCTCTGCTAGAGTTACTGCTTGTGTGTCGTGGAATCCCATCCAAGCTTTTGAGACTGTGCTGGGAGATACAGCATGTATTGATGTGCTATCCTGAAATAGTTGCACTGCCTGTGCAACCTCTGTAGGGTCCAGGTATCGCCTCATGTTACCAGTAGGGACACTGACCCTAGCCAAATGCAAAACTAGTGAAAACCTGTCAGAAAAGATGAGTAGGGAAACAAATGTCAGTGGCCTCCGCCTGTAAAACCATTCCTGTTTTGGGGGTCATCTCATTGTTGCCTATCTAGTGCACCTGTTGTTAATTTCATTAACACCAAAGCAGCTGAAACTTATTAACAACCCCCTCTGCTACTTAACTGACCAGATCAATATCCCAGGAGTTTATTTGACTTGATGCTATACTCTGATTAAAAGTGTTCCTTTAATTTTTTTGAGCAGTGTATATTGCATATTCAATTGCAGAGGGTGTCCCCTACCTCTGCACTCAATGGCACTTACCTAGTAATCTTTGAGAACCATTTGATGATGTCGTGTAGCAGTCCAGGCCCTTATGAAAGTGGGCCAACACTCCATTTATCAAAACAATGAGAATATAGGCAACAAAGTAAGTGCAAATCAAATGCTGAGCATTCTAGTTAGAAATGCCAACATGACCTGCAAAAACATTCATGGAAGCACCTTATTTTATGGGTTTTTTAAAATACAGATTGCAAATAATGAAAAATAAAGTTGGTCAAACATCACTATAGTTTCCTATTAAGGAAACTTAGTGAACACATCACAGCAACATTCAAGAAAATCAACAAAAAAGTTTTCAACCTGGACTGAGTGGCAGAAGACCAGCGGAACTTGGGGACCAGAGCAGGAGAAATTAGCAACGTCACATGTGGTGTGCAGCATGGGAGCAATATAGTGGGAGGTGAGCATGGACTGGAGAGAGAGGGAGATCAGCAAACCAGAGGATCAGCAGGGATGGGGGTTACTTCTGAGCAGGAGATGAGCAGAGCTAGGGGTTACTACTGAACAGGGGATCAGTAAAGCTAGGGGTTACTACTGAACGGGGGATCAGCAAAGCTCAGAATACTACTGAGTGGGGCATCAGCAGAGCTGAGGGTACAACTGAGCCAGGGTATCTGCTGAACTAGTGTAATAATCAGCTGTGGATCTGCTAAATGGAGGTACTAATGAGCTGGGAACCTGCTGAGTGGGGGTAATACTGAGCTGGGTTTCTACTGGTCCCCTTAAAACAAATAGAAAATCAATACCCACACTGCATTTGCCAAGCTTCATAAAGCTTCAAAAAAGCACCACGGAAGCATTAAAAACACATCAAAAAAGCATGTTGAAGAGGTAAGCACTTTAATGTGTGTTAAAGTGGAAGCAAGTGTAAATGAGTCCTAAAGGTGTACAGCGAGAACAATAAAACAAATATCTCCCTGGGACTTATCTTTAGTTTTCAATGCCCTTATCAGGGAACCCTTTGAACCCTTAGGAGAGGCTAGTTTGAAATGGGTTAACGCTCAAGAGTACAAATATAATACTAGAAAAAAATGTGGTTTTAGAAATAATATATAAACTGCTCAAAAAAATTAAAGGAACATTAAAGGATGGTTGTGCATGACAATCCCAGTAGATCAGCAGTTTTTTGAATATTCAGACCAGCCCATCTGGCACCAACAACCATGCCACATTCAAAGTCACTTGAATCCCATTTCTTCTCCATTCTGATGCTCGGTTTGAACTTCAGCAAGTCATCTTCACTACGTCTACATGCCTAAATGCATTGAGTTACTGCCATGTGATTGTTTGATTAGCAATTTATGTTACCAAGCAATTGAATAGGTGTACCTAATAAAGTGGCCAGTGAGTATATGTATGTATATATATATATATATATATATATATATATATATATATATATAGCACCCTCCTAATGGTTAGACAGGAGCTGTTAGCAGCTCAGGTGTAATAGTCAGAGGGATCAAATTGTAGTCAGGGCTGACAGGCTTTGCAGGTCAGCCACTCCAGAATTTTCCCCTGCTCTGAGGCTTTCAGAGGAGAGCTTTGTAGGCAGTGGGTGGATCTGAGGAGTGGCAGGCTGCACTC